AAAAGGTGGCCGACGCACGAGAAGGAGATGTTGGCTATAGTTCACTGCCTTAGAGTTTGGGAGCATTACTTGAAGGCCGCCACACCGTTCAAGATCAAGACGGACAATCGGGCAGTGAGCTACCATCAAAGCCAACCTAAGCTTTCAAGCAAGCAAGCACGTTGGTTGGACTTCTTGGCCGAGTTTAAATATGAGCTTGAGTATAGCCCAGGGAAGACTAACCACGTGGTCGACGCCCTAAGCCGAAAGGCGTGTCTTGCTCCAATCGTTAGCATACCCGAGGGGACGCTGGTTGATCGCATCAAGAAGGGTCTTGAGCATGACCGTCAAGCCCAAAGGTTCATGGAGCTCGTGAAGGAAGGCAAGACAACACGGTTCTGGCTTGAGGATGGGATACTTTATGCCAAGGGGAACCGTTTGTACGTGCCCGCATGGGATGGACTTAGAAGGGAGATTCTAAGGGATTGCCATGATAGCCGTTATGCGGGTCACCCAGGTACGCATCGCACACTTGCCTTAGTCCATGAACGGTTCTATTGGCCTCGCATGCGGGAAGACGTGGAGACGTATGTAAGGACTTGTCTAGTTTTCCAACAAGACAAGACCGAGCAAGACCACCCGCATGGCTTGTTATCACCCTTGCCTATTCCGGAACGCCCGTGGGACAGCGTTTCGATGGATTTCATCGTGAGCCTGCCCGTTTCCGAGGATTGCACCAACATACTTGTTGTGGTAGACCGTTTGTCTAAGTTTGCGGTCTTCATTCCCGCCCCAAAAGAGTGCACCGCAGAGATAACGGCCAAACTCTTTCTTAGGCATGTGGTGAAGTATTGGGGGCTGCCTACATCGATCATAAGAGACAGGGACTCAAGGTTCACTGGCCGTTTTTGGCAAGAACTCTTTCGTTTGCTGGAGCTCAAGATGTCTACATCTTTGCACCCGCAAACAGATGGGCAGACGGAGCGCATCAACGGCCTCTTGGAGGTGTACCTCAGGCACTATGTGGCAGCCAACCAGAAAGATTGGGTATGTTTGCTAGACGTTGCCCAATTTTCCTATAACTTGATGCGGAGTGAGCACACGGGCAAAAGTCCGTTTGAGATTGTCCTTGGTTTCCAACCGACTACGCCTAAGGACATTCTTGGGGGCTACAAGGGCAATAGCCCACCCGCATACAAGTTTGCCAAAGATTGGCAAGAACGAGCCGACGAGGCAAAACTCTACTTGGAGAAGTCGGCCGCGCGCATGAAGAAATGGGCGGATAAGAAACGGACCTGTCGTGAGTTTGAAGAAGGCGACCAAGTCTTGGTAAAGCTTTATGAGCATGGTCGAGCCGTGGTTTACACAAGGGTCTCATGCGCAGATACAAGGGTCCTTTCACCGTTCTCAAGAAAGTGGGTTCGGTTGCTTACAAGTGGAGCTACCCGAGGCCTTTCAAGGCTTCATCCAGTCTTTCATGTGAGCCTACTTAAGCCATACCGCAAGGACCCGAGCACGAAGAATGTAATGTTTCCTCAAGGGCACCACCGGCGTACGCGAGCATGAGGAACGGACCGCAGAGGAGATCCTTTCTAAGAGGATCGTTCGGGGCAAGAGCGGGGCAGCAACTAAAGAATACTTGGTGAAATGGAAGAATTTGCCAATCAGTGAGACGAGTTGGGAGCCAATCGAGAAGCTTTGGCAATTCACCAAATTGATCAAGGACTTTGAGGAGAATCGTGCACCAGTTCCTATCAACATTGCCTTCGAGACTTAGGTGCATCGGGGCGATGCACCGTTTTGGTGGGGGAGGATGTCACGGATAGTTTTTCTTCCCAACGAATTCGGGTGGTTTGCTGCAAAACAGGCTATTTTCGTAGACGGACATGGGACGAAACGGCCTAGAGCCTTGTGGAATTCTCCGGTCAAATCTTGAAGACTCTGGAATTTTCTAGAGAGGCCCGGAACTCTCTAGAAACGGGTGGAACCGTGTGGAAGCTACCCAAGTTTGCTAGAACCGTGTGGAAGATTCTAGAGACTTGTAGATATTTTGAACTTAGAATATTTATTGTAGGAATTCTCTAGAATTCCATTATTTTATTATGTACATAGAATTCTTTAGAATTCTTTAGGACTTGGGGTTTGCCTATAAATACCCCATGCCCCCTTCATTTGTAATCCATCCAAGCTTTGAGTAAGAGTTCTCAAGCATTCCTTAAGCTCTCTTGTGCCTTCATCGTTCTTTCACTTTCAACTTTTCTTAAGTTTTTCTTTGCCTCCGTTCTTTAAAGCCTTGCCTAGCTTTGCACGCTTTGGGGGTCTTAAGGCTGAGCTAGCACTTGATCGTTAGTTGTTTTGTGCTAGTGCCGCACGGCCGATACTTTGAAAAAGTAAGCCCGTGACAATACTATGGCTGTTAATTACTCGGGTCAACCCGAAGACCCGCCCGAACCGAACCCATTTCGGGTCAAGCGATTCGGTTAATCGGGCGAATTTGGGCTGTGCGGGTCCATCCGACTAACCGTAATAACATTTCGGTGCGGGTATGGGCAGGAGAGGTATTACTTCGGGCACCGCCCGAAAACCCGAAATAATAAAAAAAAATTTAATTTTTTTTAAAAATATTTATATATTTAAGGTTGAATACTTAAGAATTCAGTCTTATTTTTTTTTCCTCTGTAGTCGCCGCTCTTCTCCCCAACCTTTCACTTTTTTCTCCATCTCTTCTCGGCTACAACTCCCTCCCTTTTCTTCACCTCTCTCGGCTAACTCCCACCCCCCCTCCCCTTACCAACAACAACACTCTAGCTAATTAGTTCCTATCTGCAGAATCGTCGGCGGCTGTGGCAACTTTCTCCTCAGCCACGAATCAAACGGCGATTTCCTCCCTCTTTTTTCCTCTTCCTTTTTCAGATCTGCAATCCTCCAATTCTGTAGCATCCAATTATTCTTTTCCTGCATCCAATTTCCATCAAAATCGGCCAGATCTGATAGATTTGCTATTGCATTTGATGTTATCGGTTAAACTGGAGTAGTAAGCATAGATGGTGTACTTGATGTATGGCTTGTGGTTGTGTTTGGAAAGACAAACCAGATGGTATTGCATTTGATGTTATTGGTTGGAACGGAGAAGGAAACATTGACGGTGTACTCGATGTAATAGCTTGTGGTTGGGTTTGATAAGGAAAAACAGATGGCATAGCAACGGGCAAGAATAATAAAAATTTGTAGTATGTGTGCAGCTGTTTGTTTTCTTAGAAATAAGTTTTTGGGTTTTTACTGTCTATTTTTTGACTAAACACTATCAGGATGACTTAAAATTTTTTTTTATGCGGTTAAACCGAAACTGAACTGAAAAAACCCGATTTAGTTTTCGGTCGGTTCGGTTCTGTGTTGAAGATTTTGCAGTTCGGTTTCGGGCAGGTGTTGTGAGAAGAAAACACCGATTAACCCGAACCGAACTCACCCGAACCGACCGAACCCGCCCGAACTGACAGCCCTACGTAATACACATTCAAGATACAAGAAGGAGATTAAAACCCATGAAAAATTGATTAGTTCTTTTGTTTGAGAGTGTTGCATGTGAAAAGAAGTTACAATAGTTATTTCAAAACAAACATGTATTTTCCCTCCAAAATTTTTTAACTACCACTTCAAGCTATGATAGGATTTTGAATTACGATATATATATAAGGTGCTTATTTTCAAAACCACCACCTTTATTACTTGAAGCCACATATTTTAAAATTGGACCATTTTACCCTTATAATTTTTTTAAATCAAATAATTTGACTAAAAAGAAAATAAAAAAAATTTAAAAATTTTAAAAAATAAAATAAAAAATTGACCGACCGGGCGGTTCACCCGTCCCGGGTTAACCGTGGACGGGCAAGGAACGCGTCCGGGACGCGCAATGAACGCGTTCGGGCGAACAAGAGGACGCGTTCCTTGCTCGTCCCGTGTTAACCCGGGACGAGTGGATTGCTCGTTCGGTCCCGGTTCGGTCCGATATGGTGAACCGGACCGATCAGGCCCTTTTTCTCAATTTTTAATTTTTTTTGTTTTTTTTTTTAATTTTTTGGTAATTAAAAAATAGCAATATTTGTTATTTAAAAAAATCGAAAAATTAAAAAATATCAATCGGATTCATTGCTATTTTTTTAATTTTTAGATTTTTTGTTGTAATTAGTTAATCTAGTTTTTAGGTCATTAAATTTATTAATAATTTATTATTTGAGTTACATTAAATATCACCAATCTTTGTAGTACAAAAAATAGTTAATCTATTTGCACATATTTGTCACAATCTTTGTGGTACAATTATTATTTTTCATTATAAATGTATAATTATTATTTTAACTAAAAATTATCTTTAAAATAATGATTAAAGCAAAATTTATATTTTAATATCAATTCAAATAAATCAGCTTAACAAATAATCTTAAAGTTTTTCAAGTAAAAATTAATACTTGTTTATTTTCAAGTAAATATAAAATCGAGAGTTTAAGCACTAAAGTATAAATATTGTTACTAATATTTAAAGTAAGAGGTATTTAACGTGTAATGATACTGTGAATACACTAACATTAAAATAAAAATTAATAATTTGTCCGTTCTCACGTGAATCGGGCCGAATGACTTGTCCGGTTTGGTCCGAGTGGCAGGGGCAAAATGACAAGGGCAAAATAGTCTAAATTTTTTTTCGTAGCTTTGACTACTAAAGTGGGTGGCTTCAAAAATCCACCCCCTATATATACATGGCAAATAGTTTCTAGAAAAAAAAAAAAAAAAGAAGGAAAAAGATGGTACCAGTAACAAAAAATACCGGACCGAATTTTGTTTTTTTCACTTTCCTTCCCGCCTTGCAATTCAAACTCCTCACTTTTACCCATTTTCAAACTGACAACCAGCCGTCCTTCTCTCATCTAGGGTTTTACCTGCTTCAAAATCTTACCATTTCTTTTTCGATTGCAACAAGTTTTCTTGATTTCTCATCAAATTAAGACTAAAAGGGAGCACAAATGAGTGCTCCGATGGATATTTCTGCTCCGGAACAATCCTCCGCCGCCGCCATTGTTGGGGAAGCAAATGGAGCAGTCCCGCAGCCGCTTCCTGCTTCTCCTTTTCCTCCTCCTCCCCCAGTTTTAACCGATGATAGACTCCCCGTTTCAGGTTTTCTTACTTTTTTTAAGTTCTTAATTCTGTCGGTTTATTAATTTAGAAAGACACAATTTCATCAGTAGGATTGAGATTTTTGAAATGTTTGGGTCGGGTTTTTTTTGGTTTGTTTTTGTGCCATTTTCAGTGGAAGTTTGCTTGAAAGCTACTAGCACAGCTCGTATTGAAGATGTTCGGTCAGCTGTTGAGAGGTAATGCAAAATGATACTATTACACTCTGTTCACTCTCGTTTCTCTCAATTTGGTGGATAATTCAGTCTTTAGAAATTATTATTTCTTTATTTTTTTAAAAAAATAAATTAGTTTTTATTTGGAGCAAAAAGAATTGGTATAGTAGTGCGAAGAATCAAAGATTGAGGTTTCGGTTACGGGATAATCTGGAATTTGTACTTTCCTTTTCTGTAACTGATTGTTCTCTTTTGAAATATTTATTAGAATGCTGGACAATAGGAGCATGAGCTATGCTGATGGCTCTATTCCTGTGCCTTTGGATGATCCATTTCTTTTCCAAAATGTGCAGAGAATTGCCATCTGTGACACAGGTAGCTTTTCTTGTTTACTTTGTGCTAGCGATCGTATCAAATGTGTGTATATCTGATTCATGCTTAAAGTAGTTCCTACTGTGAAGGATCCTAAAATTAAGTGTAGTCCATTCTTCAGTTTTCATACAAATTATAGACTTTCTTCCTTTTAAAGAGGGAATTGGGCACCTTCAAGCATTCATGACTTCTGGATTTTGATATTGTAGATGAATGGCTGGAGAACCATGATGTTCTCTTGTTTTGGCAAGTGAAACCTGTTGTGCATGTTTTTCAGGTGATAATATTTTGCCTTTTCCCTTGTATTAGTTTGTTGAGTGAAGTGCGTTTATATGTCTTGTGGCTTTTATTGTAGTTTTCTCTTTTGGACTGTAATTATTCTTTCTAATCTCTACTTTGCTTTGATCACAATGGGTCCTTCAAAGCCTTGTTGCCCTATAGGTGTCAAACCTTCATATGATGTACTCTTGGTTTTCAACTGAGCATGTAGGCTGGTTAATTAAAATTCACTAAAGAGGTCTTCAATAGGATTTGTGTGGCAAAACATTGAGACATACACTTCATCTTTAAAATTTTAGTATATTTTAGATTACGTCACAAGGTTTCAGTAGGTCAAAGTTGGAAGCTCCAAACTACAATTTCTCCTGATTCAGCTGATTCTATCAAAGAGCTCGAGTTATTGGTGCATTTACGGTGCTGAATGAGACATATGAAATATTGGTAAGAAAGGTAATGATAGAATGCAACAATACTTGGAGAATCAGTCAGTACGGTAAATCGATTAGGAGGGCAAACAAATCTGACATGGTTATCCTAGTGATCAAAATCAAGGAGTCGTTTCCCGCTAATGTGTCAGTCACATTGCTAAATATTAAGGCTGTGTTTGTTACTTTATATTGCATGCTTTTAGTTTAAAGCTTTATTTATTTTTAACATTCATTTTGACATTTCCAAAACAACTTTATACATTCTCAACGAACCTTTTCAATTTCCAGTGAAAAGAAAACTACTAAACAATGTTTCAACTTTCAACTGAGCCTAAACTGTTTCATGATCTCCAGCTTAATGAAGAAGGACCTTGTGAAGACTTAGATGGCGATGGTCAGCTTTCAAGCTTCAATGAGTGGATTCTCCCTGCAAAAGACTTTGATGGCATGTGGGAAAGGTTTGGTTCATACAATCTTTTCATTGCATTTCTGGTAGTATAAGTATTGTAAACTGATGTTTCTCATTTTGCAGCTTGATATATGAACCTGGGCTCAAGCAGAGATTATTGCGCTATGCAGCTAGTGCTTTGCTTTTTACTGAAAAGGGTGTTGATCCTTTTCTTGTCTCTTGGAACCGGTAAGCATATATGCTTTTTTGAACTTATTGTGCTGTGTCCCCAAGTGTAAAAGATTGAGTATGAGGATCTGCCATTGGCGTCCGGGTTGTTGGGATTTTTCTGAATGATACTGCAGAAATGTTCTTTTCTGATCTTCGATGCTATCCTCAAAATCATGGTTTCTTATTAACTGTTGTAATGGATTGTTTTCTTACTAGTCAAAGCTAACTATTTTGCAGTATCATTCTACTACACGGACCACCAGGAACTGGGAAGACATCATTATGCAAGGCACTAGCACAGAAGCTATCAATACGTTTCAGCTCCAGGTTCCATTGAAACCAATGCTTTGTTTGACCTTTTATTACAGACTTATTATTATTCTTATTGCTCTGCGTAACATCTTTATCAGATACCCACAGTGCCAACTGGTCGAAGTAAATGCACACTCCTTGTTCAGTAAATGGTTTTCTGAGAGTGGCAAATTGGTGAGCACTGGATTCATTCCATGTTTTATGTCGCTAATTGGTCATATTCATTTTGCTTTCATGAATACATCTTACAGCATTTCATTCAAGTCATAGCTAGATCATTTTCTGAAATTGAATGGTTCAGTGGGAAATTAGCAATACATTTATCCACAACAAACCCGGGCCCAGGGGCAGCTGTTTTAACACTTGCTCCTAGGAAGTCTTATTCGTGCCAAAAAACAGGACTGTTAATTCATTACCGATAACTAAAAGAAAGGTCAGTAAGACCAACCAAGCAAGATAAAGCGTGGAAACTGATAAATTTAAAAAAATCAGGAGACTGTATAGTCCAGTAAAAAGCACCATTTTATCGGTAATAAGAACTCTAGTCATCACGGAAAAGATGGATATGTATACTCAATACACATCATATTTGTTAATCAAATTACACTTTCATAGCTAGCTTTCATACCCGTTACAGGGGAAAGGGCTGACACAGGAAACATACAGGAAACCATATCCTAGTCGATGGCAAAAGAGCTTGTCACTTGTCAACAGGCCAAGATTATTAGCTATTTTATCTCTTCTAAGTTCTATCTCTAACCTAGCTATTTATCCACAACCAGCCAAGATAGCTTTTCAGGACTGTTTCAGGGTAAGCTTACCAATTATCCATGATGAATATGCATAGATAATGAACCAATTCTCCACTCAGAAAACAATTTACTAAGCATAATAATTATCCGAGAGTTGGGCAAATGGTAGACTTAGGCAGATGGTGTGTACATTCGTTTAGTTGCATATTAGACTAGTGAAAGATGTTTTGCTTCTAAATTTTATTCTGTTTAATGATTAAGAGGAATACTGCTAGAACTTAAACTGAGTACGAGAGAGAAACTCTCCTAACTTGCTTACTGGTCTATACTCATTTTATGAATGTTCAGTGTGTAAATGGTTGTGCCCATATGTGTGATACTTGCAGATTCATTACTATTAGCTAATCAATGCATTTTTGGAATTTTTCTAGACAGACTTTGTCACTACATCCCAGCATGATAATGACTTTAGTATCTTTTTAAATTTAGGTGGCAAAGCTTTTTACAAAAATTCAGGAAATGGTGGAGGAAGAAAACAATCTGGTTTTTGTTTTGATTGGTGAGAATACAGACAGCAATAGGGTCTTTCATTTACTGCTGATTTCGAGTTTTGATTGCTCAAAATTCATGGGATACATACTTTTGCAGATGAAGTTGAAAGCCTCGCTGCTGCCAGAAAAGCAGCATTGTCTGGCTCCGAGCCTTCAGATTCTATACGGGTATGCGGTCTTTGTAGATTGGAACTAATTATGAAGCTGTGTGTATTTGGATAATTATTTCCAACATGTATAATTATGTTGTTCTAGGTTAAAATACAAGGTTACTGAAAATATGCTTTTTCAGGTTGTTAATGCCTTGCTAACCCAGATGGACAAACTAAGATCCTCCCCAAATGTGATTATATTGACTACCTCCAATATCACTGCTGCTATTGGTAAGTATGATATCTGAGGAGTTCCATATATTGACTTTACAGAATTACCCCTTTTTTAGTTTCCTGTTTCCTAGTCAAATGCATGAGTCAACATAGCATCTGATCGATTTGAAGGTATCTCTAACTTATCTCGAAATGAAAACTTCTTGAGCATTTAGTTTCGCAATTGCAACCAGCTCTTCTTTGTATCTTTGATGTATACATTTGAATGATTCCCCTTTACATGCTCTCACACATCTGTATCTCAATATTCATAGAGAACTTATTTTTAGCTATGGGTCAATTGCAATTAACATAATGCTTGAAAGTAATGCTGACCCAGTCAGTTTTGATGTTTGCAAATGGTCTATCTACGGAGAACCTTTAAAGTACCCATTCGATTTGTTTATGTTGAATCTAATTGCAATAATTCTTCCACAGTAACATTGGTAGTTCTCTTGTGGTCTTTCTCTCCTGGGATTGTCTTCTTATTTCCACTTATGTAGAGTTCTGTTTTCTAATCCTTCCACCATTATCCTTCCATTTCGAAAGTGGTATACTTGTGATTTCCATTATTCAGATTATTTGTTCCTTTCAAATTGGTAAATCGTAGCTGAATGACATTTTTAATATTTTCATATAAAGCCCTGATTTCATGATGCTTCACTCAAACTGGAAGTGCAGATGTAGCCTTCGTGGACCGAGCCGACATTAAAGCATATGTGGGGCCTCCAACCCTTCATGCACGCTATGAAATTTTAAGATCCAGTTTTCAAGAGCTATTACGAACTGGAATCTTGTCAGATGCTAACTTTAAGGTAGTTTTCTTAGCTCTTGATGGTACTTTTTATTCTGATGTGTAATTGGTGATTATATTAGGTATCAATAGGAACTGATGCAATAAAATGTGAGATCTTGTAGGATGGTCGTGAAGTCCTTATTCCAACATTTGCTGGTGCTAAAGATGTACAGTCAGAATTTCCAGCCTTATTGATTCTAAGCAAAAAGCTGCTCGAAGCTGCTGAAGCTTGCGAGGTGCGCAAAATTTAAATAGTTCTTTCCAATTGTTGGCAACATACAATATAACCAAGAATGATCATCAGATCGAAAAGTTGACCATTCTCTTGTCATTAGGGTTTGAGCGGAAGATCACTCAGGAAGCTTCCATTCTTAGCACACGCAGCGCTTAAGAATCCATACTGTTGTGACTCTCACACTTTTTTGAAAACATTGGTGCAAACAGCTATGCGAGAACGTTCAGAGATGCCCGATTAAATGCAAGTAAAGTTTTAGGTTGAAGATTCAACACTTTGGTGCTAGAAAATGGAGGGAAATGAAAGAGCTTGCTGGTCCATGAAGGCTCAAAAGCAAAGCCCTATCTGCTGAACTTGTCAAGATTATGATAAGCTTCTAAGCAGGATTTCTAGTTCAAGCAATATAGGAAGTGAATGATAGATAACTGGTAATTTGTATATACCTACTTGTACTCGCATTACAGGAGGTGATAAGTTAGCTGGAAAAGAAATCCCTCGACTGATATCTATGTTAGGGTTCTTTTGTATTCCAAACACACTTTTATCCCTCTAGTGTAGGCATTTTGATCCTTGTACTTTTTTGCCTTTTCCATTGCTAAAACTAGTACAACTAAGTTTTATGTGCTAAATCTGTGAAGCATACAGTGAATCACTTGTAATCTTACAGTAGGGTGGTAAGGCCATGTAAAATATAGAATCTATCCATTACCTTTGTTTCGTTGAATTGACTGAGGAAGTCAAATGTACGTTCTGATAGAGCACGTTGAGGTTGTATCATACATAGCTCATCTAACAAACTGAAGAAAAAAGATTCTGTGAATACATTTATCGAATGCCAAAACCACATTATTCGCAATTCATAGTTTACCACATTATTCGCAATTCATAGTTGCCCATTCTCGAATCAGGAAAAGTGAGTACATTACCGTCGTTCTCAACAAGGCATTTTTCCAAGCTTGTTCCGATTCAATCTGTTATCAAGTGACGCATAAAAAGAGTTGACGCAACTGGTACAAATAATACATGCTGAAGAAGTAAAATTGTCAAAGCTGCTTTAGAGGCTCTCTCAGAAGAACCAAAAAGATTACTGATTGCTGGATGTTTGCAAATGTGGCAAAGAAACTTGAAAAGGAGATCCTTCGCCTCTGAATGTCTACCCTCTTCGGAGAAAGGACTGCAAAATCACGGGTTCCATCACATCATTATGTTTGCTTTTGTTTTGGAAGGACAAGCCTGCTCTAGTTATTATGCATCAACAACATACTCAGCAGGGAAAGAGAAAAAAAACAAAGAAGAGAAAGTTTGTTGAGCAATTTGAAATGTAAATCTAAAAGTAACGGATTCAAGTTTACCATAATGAAGTTAACATGTTAGATGTACACTAAGATATTGAAATTCTTCCCGGGCTCGAAAATCTTTGTGTAATGGAGACAATTAAAATGTGATGGAAGAAGGACAGAGAATAACAATCAACTGCAAGTCAGTTCCAAAAAACATGACAGTTAGATAAAAACTTCCCCAGTATCACCGGGGAAGACAAATTTAGTCACTTCATGGAGATCAGAAAACGACCAAGATAATAAACAAGAAGATAGATAATATGGTTAACGTGGACTAGAACTATTTCCACTGCAACCAATAGGAATATACATTGGCTTGAGCCCTTGAATAGTCATCAAGAGGGAACCTAAATAATGACTATGAGATTCTCAATTCTTCACCTAACTCATCCCAAACTACATTCCATCTAAAATTCAAACCTAAAATCACAGAAGTTGAATCTTACACTATTTCTAGCCTCGGCTAATAAATTGTACAGACAATTCTTGATAGGCAAAAAATAGACTTAGGGTTCAGCTTCCTCGTGGGCTGCTCCATGACACTTTATTGCGCCAATGATTCCCTCCATCCAGCTGATTATAGCAACCTTACAAAGTACTACAAACAGAATCTCCAGTTAATGTTTGAGGAGAATCAGAAGCAAGAATAGTAGAGACGCATTTTTGGTCTATCTCATTAGATTCGCTTGTTTGTCTCTTCTTTTCATTCTTGCGCCGTTTATTTTGTGCTCGATCAGCCTTGGAGACAATTTTTGAAACTGTGAAGCCAGCAACTTCGAATTTGTGGGATCTCTCAGGAAGTAGAGCATTGCGGGAGACAATGTCAACTCCATCGTACGACCAAACACCTAATACAGCTTCTCCTCTAATTCCAATGGCAAACCAACCCAGACCAGCAGCAGCAATATCAACAGAGTTTCTATCCCACCAATGTCCACTTACACGAAATTCCTTCCTCACCCATTTCCCAAGTTTCTCAACTCTTTCTTGCCCGATAGGTGGCTGACAAGCATTAACACATGGGTAAGATTCAAGAACAGATGTCTAGCAACTGACAGGATGTCAAACTCAACCAGATTTCTTCAAAAAAATCCACGTTAATTAGAAAGAAGCCAAAATAAATTCTAGGAGAAGTGGAAAACTGACTACAAGAAGAAACTTTCCCCTCATAAATCATTTCATTCACATGTTTATAAGCAGCAAATGAACTCTGGAGAAACCAATACGAAACTATAGAGCCGGAAAATTGTATTACAGGAAGAACCAATTCAACAACTTACAGGCTTGAAAAAGAAATTCATGAAAGCATGCATTGTTTAGTACAAGATTTCTTTCAAGTAGTATGATCTTGAGCAGCCAAGCTAGCTAATCACACTTACGTGAATGAGATACAAGTATATATGTGAAATCATATGATATCCTGAGTCTGTAAACCAGTGGATTTCAATTTCTTGGGATAGTAACAAATGACAAAAAACCGGTACTACCCAATAGCATGACCCTTCAAATCATAGAAAACTCTTCCATAACAGCTCTACTAAATTCTCATTAGCACTTGAAAGTTCATTTCTAGAGAAGTTGGAAAAAGAGTGATAGGACTTGAAAAGCTCCAGAAATTCGGTTCTCGCATGGCAGCAAAGCCCAAACTCAAAAAGCTAAATGCCAAGGTAAGATTCCCGAAACAGAGAAGAAAAGAAAAGAAAAGAAAAGATTTCCATGACAGAAACAAACAAAACTAGATGAACTAAAACATTCTAAAGAGACCGGTATGTACAGTGTGGAAAAATGAAAAGGTTATATTGTCCCATGTGCATACATCTACAATCTGGTATGCACAATCATAAATGGAAGATGGAAGATGCAAAGGTCAGCTGACCTAATGGGATCATTAAATTGCGCAAATTACCTGTAACTGGTTGCCAAAGTGTTTCTCCAAGATGGCAGAAGCATTTTCTGTCTTCCCCATGTGGAGTGGAAGAAGTGGAGAAGCCCAGACTGTAACATAAAGAGAATCTGTTGATAATTCTTCTACATCCAACCTCAGCAGCCCTCCAACATGAACTGAATGTCCTACCTGTTGCACAAAAAACAAAAAAATAACTGGTATAAGCCCACAAACACAACTGTAGAATGCACACTCCAACTTGACTGCACAAAATTTAAGAACAAGAAAAATGCCAAAAGAATTTTGCTTGGACAGGCTGAGCTTGATGGTTGGGGAACCATAAAAAGTGCTACTGATACTATAAAGCTATAATACTTTAACCAATCAAACAACAGCACCAACACACAAGTTGGACATAAAATCTTCAAGAACATTTTCTATCTAACACATGGATCAGGCCTATCACTAGTTTCCATTTAAAGGCCGAACAGAGAAAACAGGACTTGCCATCCAACACTCCAGTATAATGGGGATAGTGGACAATAATCATTTAAGGTCTTTATTTAACGAGAACACTATAGAAGCACAATCAATAACACGGGTGGGAAACTAAAGACACCAGGGCAGATGTCCAGCAGTCTAGCGAGGCAATGTTCATTCCACAACATCAAGATTCCAGTTCTCAACTGCCTTTAAATCTAGCCAGAAACACTGAGGCAATGAAACCCTGCACTTGTCCATTTAAGTTATTGAACCATCTGACAGAAGCTCATATTTATTTAAGATAGCAACTAGAAACATACAAGGGACAAATCGACAAGTTAATGACTGAAATCAACCATGCAATGGAATCAAGATGAATTATGCAATAAATTTTTATTTATAACAATCCATCATAACTAGACTTACATTGATCCTATATGTCCTCGGCTTCAGCTCCTTTTTAATGTACACCAGTTTCTGCTCTTCACTTGTCAGCCTAGTCAAAATCTGATGAGGATGCAAAAGCCCTGGAGTATCAAACAGTTTGGCATTACCAGGAAGCACTCCTTCCACCCTTAAGATACCCAAAGTTGTCCCAGGTACAGGTGCCTCAGTCAGATGAGTCACATTTTTTCCTGTACATTTTCCTATGGCATTAAGCAATGTACTCTTTCCTGCATTCTGGGCCCCAACTGCCCAAACCTGTCCTCTTGCTCCTGCCAAGTCTACCACATCATCAACCAAATTCTTTATTCCCCAGTCCCTCACAGCACTCACCAAATGTACACTAGTCAACTTACCGGCTCCACCCTCTCTTGCCCTTGTCCTAACCCAATGTTCAAACGTTGTAGGAGACAATGAACTTGGTAAAAGATCAATCTTTGTCACAACCAACACTATCCTAGGGACATTACCTGACTTCCCTTCCTTCCATGCCCGTGAATACTCATCAATAGTTTTAGAAACTAAATTTGCCACTTTCCTGGGAAAGGAACCATCAAAATCTGATGCATCAACCACCATTAAAACCACAGTCCTAGCCCATTTAATGGACGTCAACCTCCTTCCTACAGTGTGATCAAAATCAAAGTCAGGCAACAAATTCTCCACACTAGGGTCTTTCACCTTCCCATAAAACCTCAAACTATGACACCTAGTACACACGAGAGGTTTTTCAGGTGATTTCTGCTCCGGAATGCTGAGATTTTGGGCATCCTCACAATCTACGGACTCACTCAAGAAACCCCTTTTCAAGGAATCGGAGACCTCCGGCTCTTCAAAAATTGGATTTTTATAAATTCGAGACTTGTAGTCAGGGCTTTTAACCATGGGCACGGTGAAAAACCCAGGTTGTTTAGGGTCAGAATCTTGCATTTGGACACCGCAGCCAGGGCAAATGGGGAGGCCTTCTGAAGTGGTATCATCATAGTTTCCATCTCTGCTAATGGGTTTCAGCGGTAAAGACTGTGGTTTTACAGGTTCTGAAGAAAAGGGTCGAAAAGTGAATAGGGATTTACAAGTGTTTTGAGTGAAGTAGGGAGCTAAAACCTGATTTGAGATTGGCGAAGTGCTGACTGCAGAATGGGAATTACATACTGGTTTGTTGCGTATATAGGTGGAGAGTGGAACTGAACTTAAGAGCTTTTTGAGCTTTGAAGGTGAGAAAGGTTTTCTAGCAATCATTTCCAAGTTTCTGTTTCTCTTCAGAAGAATTCCTATTAGATTGTTGGACTTCGGGTCTGGTTCCCTTTAAACAGAAAGACTCCAATCTGAATTTTTCTGCATTATCGGCAGGCAATCAATGAACACGTCCTGTTTTAATCAAGTTTCTGAAAGATTTGTAAAACCATTTAACAAACCGTAAAAAGAGGATTGAACCTTGAAGTATGGTAATGAAAACAGACCAAAATTTTAGTCAAGAAAAGGCACAAACAATATAAAAATCGAGCCCTCAAAGTACAATGCTCAAATCTGAAAATCAGAAAATCCCGTTTCTACTGAAAACCTAAAAGGTTTCCCCGAGTTTCAAATTCCTATTATTGGCAATAATCCAAAGCTAGTTCCAATAAAGTAGTAACCCATCTCAAGGCCATAATCAACGATTCTAAACATCAACGCGTTGCAAACAACTCAAGAATCTAAGAATCGGCTGATTAGCAATTCTCCTACTTCACTAATTAATAACTTCAAAATCCAAAACTAGGGGTTTTCAATCAAGTGTTCTGAATCCTTACCTCTTTATGTCCCAATACACCTCCTTTGCCAATGCATGCTGGTTCGAACCGATTCCCCCAAAGCTGCCCGAATCCTTGAAGGTGCCAATTAAGAAGGAGAACGTTGACGATGACTCGGATTGTTTAAGGTTGATGGTGATTGACGTTATGGGAGCAGCGGAAGTTGATTCGCTGCTGTTTTGAAACTTGAAGAAGAGGCAAAAACGAAAAAGGGGAAAAAAAAAAACAAAGAGGAGGTTTTAAGGTTGGGGAAGAAATTGTGGAGAAGGTGAAGAACAAGGAATTCTGTTCGTGAGAATAGAAAAATCGAAAGAAAAATCGGTGCGTTGTGATATTTTCCTTTCAAATAGGTAAAATTGTAGCTGAATGATATTTTCATGATTTCATCTGCAGCCCTGATTTCCATGATGTTTTTTTTTTTTCACTCAAACTGAAAGAACAGATAGCCTTTGTGGTACCTGGAAAGGAAATCCCCCAGACTGATGTTCTATGTGGGATTCTGTTGTATTCCAACAAAAAAAAAAAAAAATCTTTTGCATACTTTTTTGCCTTTTTTCATTGCCAAAACTAGTACTACTAAGTTCTGTATGTTTAATCTGTGAAGCATTTGTAATTTTATATGCAACTCATGGATGCTCATTAGTGTCATTCTCCACAAAGCATTTCTCCAAGCTTGTCCAAAAATGCATATTTCCTATTCTATTTCTTGTCAAGTGACTAGCTTTCATCAATAATAAAACTGAATACTGGAATCTCAATGTGATGAACTGAAGCATAAAAGAGTTTGACACAACTGGTACGAATCATAGATGCTAAAGTAGTAAAGATAACACATAAGCAGAAATTGTCAAAGCGGCTTGCTCTCTGAAGAACCAAAAAGGCTGCTGATTGCTGGATGTTTGCGGATGTGGTGAGGGAACTTGAAAAGGAGATCCTTCGCCTCTGAATGCCTCCCCTCATCGAAAAAGGATTGCAAAACATGTTGGTAACATGATACAGATTGATATTTCTTACTACCTGTCGCTTTTAGAAGCTCCAAAGCATCCTCAACCGACCCAGACTTTGCAACATACTCCGTAAAAGGTTTAACATGTGGCGAGTATTCCTGTTTCTTCATTAGCCGAAGAAGGTTCAAGGCTTCCTCCAGCCTTCGTTCTCCTAGCAGCTTTTCAATCAGATTCTTGAACGTAGATTGCCAAGCTTTCAGATGAGACCTGTTAGTCATTTCGACAACTAATTGGTATGCCCCAACCACCTTATTCTGATTTATAAAACCTCGCACCAAAACCTCCAAAAGGTCAGCATCAGCATCTAAACCCGTCTCCACCATCTTTGCAAAGCATAGCAGTGCCTTATCAACTTCATTAGCATCACAATAACCTTTAATAAGAATTGTCCAAGTCACAATATCAGGACGGAGTCCTTCAGCTTCCATCCGATCCAATACATGATAGGCTTCCTGTAACCGCCTTGCTTTACAAAGTCCAAAGATTAATTGACTGTATGTGATGTTATCAGGTTGATATCCAGCATTTCTCATGGTCTCAACAAGCTTCTCTGCTTCTTCAAAATTCCCCACACTAGTCAGAGACCTGTGAATGCCATCATAGTCAGTTTTAGATAAGCAAAAGCCAGCTGCCTCGTGCTTCCTCTTAACACGGAACACCAGATCCAAGTCAGGATCTTTACAACTTGAAATAAAACGCAAAAGCAAACTACAATCTGTTGCCAAAGGCTTAAATGGACTATCCATCATATGTTCATAAAGCTTAACTAAGTCCTCAAACAGCTTGCTCTTTCGAAACTCCCTTGCTATCTTGACATATGTATCTATATCAATCTCAAATCCGGCATCCTGCATCTCCCTGACCATTCCCCAAAACTCTGAAACGGACTCCTCCCTACAAAGAATCCTAAGAATCCCATTATAAGTAACACTATTATGCTCAAAACTCAAACTATGACTAACCCATCTGAAAAAGCTCAACGCTCTCAGGCGTAGCCCTTCTGCCCTAAGCTCTTTCAACACCCTCAGAACAAAGTTATCAGTAACATTAAGCTTCATATCCCCTAATCTTCTCTCGACAGCACCACCCCAGTCTAAATCCTTAATTACATCAACCACCTTCTTTACAACTTCCCCCATAGCATTTTCTTGAATCATTCTATTGTAGAAATGCTTCAAAGCAGTTACATCATTAACCATTTTCGCCTTCCTCAAACTCGAAAAAATAGTTAAATATGTCTCCTCATCAAGATAAAAACCATTTTCTTTCATTTCTTTAGTAGTAGACCAAAACTGCGGCATTGCATCTTTATTCGCATAGATTCTCAGCATTAGGCTATATGCAACAGAACTCGGCCTAAACCCATTTTCCTCAGTAACCCATTTGAAAAAGTGGGCAACTTTCTGTGGGTCTTTGTCCAATTTCATCAGAATATAAATCACAGTTTCATGACTCAGTGTATTCGTCAATTGCTCTTTCTCTAACCATCTATTTGAAACTATTTCATCAATAACTGACTCCGTTCTAGATGAAAAGAACAGTTTTTTCTGACTACAGAAATCAGAGGTCGTATCTATAATTCTTGGGGAAAGAAAAAGAGGGTAATTTGAGAAACTAGTCACCTGACTGTGGAGAGATCGGATTCTGTACAGCTGAATTGAGGGTCGGGAGTTGACGAAACGGAGACAACTCAGGATTCTCTTCGCTTGATTCTTCATCTCTGCTCTCATTTGCAGGGGAGTTTTCATCTAGAAGGGGTTTTTGGAGGGTTTTAGTATGTTTGCCAATCACAATTTCAGTCCCTTAACTTTTACCTCATTGCATAAGGGTTCTAAAAGAATTTTGCATTACATTATTTTCTTTCAACTTTATATAAAGAAAATACAAAGCTACCTGATAGTAGTATTCTTTCTGTTTCATTTTAATCATCTATCTTTGCAATTAAATAAAAAATGTTCTCAAGAGATTCGTATCACCTGGCAATGGTGATGAGATCTCATAAGTAAAGTTAATATTTATCCAATTTATATCAATTTCTAAGAACACATAGAACTTTTCCATCAAAATTGGATAATTAAAACGAGGCGCAAATAACACATTTTATTATTATTATTATTATTATTATTATTATTATTATTATTTGCTTGGGCAACTCTGGTTAATGGTTATTTTGGGTAAAATTTACATTATCTTTGAAATCTTATTTTACACTAAGAATAATTTCATTTTATTTTATTTTTTCCTAATTCCTACCAACCAAATAATAAACCTATAAAGGAAGTAAAGATTAAAGAATTCAGGTCTTATATCTACTTTTGTGTTTTCCTTAAATTTGTTAGGTCACCATTAAAAGAGATGTTCAATACATGAATTAGAGATTGGAACTTATCCTTGGAGTTATATAGCTAGATGACAAAAGCCATATGAGAATATGAAGCCTCATATAGCTACAAGACTACAACCACAGCATGCCTTGTGATTGTGAGGCTTCAAAATGTTCTTGGATAAAAACATGGTCCCGGAAGATAATTAAACTAATTTATTAATTTTCAACAAATTGAGTGCCCAACCAATGAAGAAAAAACAGCAGCAGCAGCAGCAACAACATCATCAACAGAAGCATGGCAAAGATGGAAAGGAACTTGAGCTTGAAATCACCAAGGCAGTGGCACAAGCATGGTATGGAAGATCCACCAGCTCTAAGTCATCATCCACAACCGAATTCGACACCCCGCGCCGGCAAAATTTCAAGAGCAGGCCAAGTAGATTCAAGCTTGAAGCAATGAGAAAAGCTTCATTACCGTCAACAACTTCATCATCATCAAGGAGTGAGTTTGAAAATGGCAGCAGTTTCAGTGCAACTACTTCATGGGATTTTGGTCAATCCCTCTGGGATTCTTATGAGATTGTGGCCATTTCGAAAAGATTGGAAAGAGGGTTAGCGTTAGATTACACATTCTGTTTAGAGAATGATGAGGTAAGGATTAATGGCTTTTACAAGAAGAAGAAAGAGAGTAAGAATAGCCTCAGAAATCTTCTTAATAAGATGTCATCTAGGAGATTCAATGAACCAATTGCGCCTGATGAAGAGGGCAATGAGTTCCATTGAGTAGCTTTGGAAGACGATTTGAATTCCCATTCCAATTTTCAGGTAGATGGGAAGCTAGATTCTGATATTATGACCATTCTTCAACATAAACTCATGTCTTTCTCTGCGTTCATTGCTTTCGGAATCAGATAAAAAACATCAGTCTCCAGTAATTATGCTAGTTGATTGTAACAAATACTTTTTGAAATACAGGGGATTACAATCCTTTCAAAGTTGCAAAGAAAATTAACCCAGGCAGCAGGCATTTTATTTATATTGTATGCATAGCATTTACTATACTACTGCTATTCATGTCTCAGAATGCCTGCCGGTTTTGCCTTTTAATAAGCTTTGAAAGTTGCCCACTTCTGCATCTCAAAGTTCTTGTGCTTCTGCTTGATGAATCCATCAGCTCTCATGTTGATATCTTGTTCAACATAAACTTGTTCACCTTTGCCATCTCTAATGATTTCAATGGTTTTCTCTTCGTGGTCAGCAAACTGAACCTTCTTCTTCGAGTCGTCACTCTGATGCTTATAATGATTCACTTGCTGATGTTTATCCTCCCATTCTTCTTCAAAAATGACTTTGTCGTGCAACCTTGAAGGCACACTGGGGTTGTAAGGGGCATCGATGATCATACTAGGCATTCTTTCCATTCGAGTAATGTGTTCAGTGTACTCGAGGGACGTCGTATCCCAGCCATACTGGGGACCCCTGCCGTAATCAAAACTTCGACGCATTGTTTCAATTGATGTTCCTGGAATCAGATGCACAACTGCTGAATTGGAACTGTGCTGTATGGGCTGCAGAGCGACTAAATTGGATCTGCAAATTTATAGACTGCTAAAAGTTTTCCAGATTCCAGATGTCCCCACAACGAATTGAGGATAGATTTGAATCTGATGCCTGATCAACTTTGTTCTCATCTGGGATCAAATGCCTCAGAATATCGGAGTTGATAGATTCTTCAAAGTTAAAATTATTGAGGAATCACAGCTAGAATTCTATGATCAACAAAGCAAAGAGGAATACGAATATGAAAGTTTATGACATTTGGGACAGCACTTATGAAGGATTCCAATTTGTTCCCAATAATGAATGAAAACAAAATTTGAGATATTTTTCTCAATAAATGACTCCTTCACTAGTAAATGAAAGTTTTACACTTTTCTTACTACCAATCAGTACTCATTAGGATATTCTGACATCTGTAACAAAAATACCCAAATCTTTCAACGACACCAGAGAACATAATTAATCATTGTTCAAAGATCATGTTAGTCTAACAATTCATTGGGTCAAACAAAGATCTCAGCTTAATTAAAATCAATGTAGCAGATCTACTAACCCAGCTTCCATGAAAAGCCATGTTGCAGAAGGGAACACAAGACACGCATAAAAGTCGTCTTGTTAGATTGGGAGAATTCCTTGGAGAGAATTTTATGCAGCAGCAACAAAAAAGAGTACCTCTGATTACCATATTCTCCAATGAAATATGCAAGTCCAAGAGTTCAGCAGCTGTTAAAGGCACAACTTCATCACGTTGACACTGATACAATCCAGCTGCTACAGACAAAATTAACCCTTCAAGAAAACCATTCGCACATTGAAAACACGGAAAAACCGCACTCTCTCAAAAATGTCAGAGACAAGTATGAATCGATGTCCAAGAGTACAACAGAGCACCTGCCCTTCTTTCTTCTGCATAGATAGCTCGGTATTATTACGATATGAGCACAGAGGTTGCCAAGAAAATCAAACTTACAGGAAAGGATATAAACATACCAAAAAAATGAAAAATGTAAGTGAAAGCATAATTATGAGACACAATATAAAAAGAGTTTGCGGACACAGTGGAACGAGTTGCGCCATCCAATAGGGATGCATTAAGAATGGTATCCACTTAATATATAAAAAATATAAAATGCAATTGATGAAACACAAATTTTAGAAAATAATAAATATGATTTTATATAATATCAGAACTTTACATGTGTCCAGTGGCTTCTACAAGTTCAAGAGACTCAATAAGCTAAAAGGTGTTAATTGGGACAAGCCAATTGCATTAACATTAACTAGCCAGATATTCTAAGAGCGAAGTCAACGCTCCTGGCTCAAAAAGCTAGCAAACTGCCTTCAGATAGTTGACATTTAGTGTTTAAAGCAAAATCAGACTATCTTAAATCAGTCAGTCATCACCAGAAGAAAAAAGAAACAAAAAAGAAGAAGAAAAAAGAAGGTGGCACAGCCTGTACAGGTAAACAAAATAACAATAACGCATTTTAATTCCCTGTGACCAACTCCACATTTCTGTCCTGTTACTTGGTTTGTCTTATCTTAACAGCTGCAAAGTGGCTAGGATTATGTTTATGCTGCGATGAAAGGGTACTTCTTTGTATCTCCATTGCATTTTCCAGAATCTTTTGAACAGAGACTTGTAGTGAGATACACTACAGCTTTTACTCACTCCTAATATGCAGATTTGGTTCACTGAATGCCACCTAATACTTCATCCCATCCCCAAACTTTCCAAAAGGTTATGCACAAAACATTCAAGTTCAACAGAAACATTTAGGATGATAAAACCAAAGACATATACGGCAACACTAATATGAGACTTAGTCAAGATCCATTTCTATGTTCAAGTTCATCAACTATTCAAAGTGCTTCAATGATCCAAATGGCTAATCCTGAATGCAAATGGTAGATGTTACAACATTTATTGAAGCAAGGAAACGATAAAACATGTTCTGTCCAATGAAGCAATTAAGATGGTACAGATACCATGGCATTAGAGAAAATCACATGGAAAGAACTATTTCAAAAACATGGATCCAGAAAAAGGAAAATTTACACAAGCAAATTAACCCTTTGTAAAAATCCTAAACATGGATCCAGGCAACCTTAACTCAGGATCAATTCCTAAATTTAATACATCCACCGAAGGCCACAAAATGGTGAACTGGTACAGTGGTACCAATTAAGCTTTGGTTAAGGAAAGGAACCCCTGACAATGGATTGCATAGCTCATTGTGAGGTGCACACCAATGAAAGTTACCTATACCTATTCCTTATGTCTTTTACGGATATTGGTGCAGTTGCAATGGAGACAAGTCAAATCAAGTCAGCGACTTGATGCACCCTAACATTGTGTGATGAAAGGCATCTGAGCGCATGATTTGTACACCTTCCTCAAATTGTAATGGATCGATAAAGAAGATGCAATCGTATGTTCAATTTAACAAAGCAGTATATCAACCGTGAGAATTTAGTATATCTGAAGATACATATAGTTTTATATAGCAATAAAGAATATCAGAAGGGATTCCATGAAACCAATACATACTTTAAAACTGATCATCAAGCAACTTTAGAAATTCCAAAGTCAATGGGGACCAGAAACAACCCATTGAGAGAAAAAGCTGGTGATTTTTCCTTCTCCAGAAAAACAAGCAAAATTAACCATTAGGGACCAGAAAAGAGTTACCTTGGAAAGCTAGACACATGCAGAAGCGACTTCTTGGTTCACCAGACAATCCGCAAAGGCTTGGATGGAGACATCACACCGATATGTCTAATTTTCCTCGTTCATTCTTACAGATATCTTGGCATTCATTCTTCTCGTTCAGCTTTCTCCAAAAATCCTAATCTACCCATACTGAACAGCACCCCGGAACATCTATGGTATAGGATGATGGATGAATACTAAATTCTAATGAGCCACCAAGTTACAGTGTCCATATGGGGTTCTTTCCAAATTTTGTGGTGGTGGTTTCTGCAGTACTGGTGAGCAGGAGAAATGGCGATGTGTGGGAAAGGAAAAGGATCGTCTTGAAACAATTGAGGATAGAGGAGAGAGAGGGAAGAGCAGCAACATTATTGAAGTCTGCTGCTTTGTTTTGGAGAGGAAAAAATGATGATGACTGGTAACTGGGAAGAAACTGGCCATTTTATGATGGATTCTCCCATTACATGTGGCAAACAATATGTGATGCACAATTACACTGTTCCAATTTAACTTAGACAGATGGAGAATTCGCAGCGGTCAAATATACGTCAGAAGGTCCTTAAAAATAAAATAAACTCCCACCAAGGTGCATAAACAAATAGTGTCATTTCCATCTCCACACTGACGACTGCAAGTAATACAACAACCTCACTAACTGAAGAACCTGTTGAGAAAAGAATAATCAACCAAGAACTAGACTTAACTTCCTGCCACTAAAATTACACATCACTTTAATTGAGAATGTAAATCTTTAAAATTGAGAAACAAAGTAGCCAGTAAACTCCATGCAAATAGAAAAAAACAGCAGTCTGGTGATTGATTAGACACATTTTAGTAGAAACAAAGGTATTAATGATACGCCTAGAATTTGCAATCACATTATTTCCAATTATCACAAAGACGTCTATGTGCAGAGCTCATACAACTGGTAACTTCTGTTTATGGAAGAGTCAAAAGAATGGCACAAAACGTATAACCTAGTTAGGGGTAAGATAACAGCTTATAGATTCCCCTGTTGATACTTTGCCCGGAAAAGTCAAATACTTTCTCAAGATACAAACTAGAAGTCTTGGATGCGTGTAGGGATCTCATTGGATTTGCAGAACAGTGAAGCGGAAAAGCCTTATAAAACTAAAACAGTATAAATTAGAGCACCTATGTAGCCACTTCAAACATGCAGTGAATTGCATAAAAAATAACATGTTCTTTCCATTAAAGGTCTAATCTAAACACTAACAACAAGACTTTATCCCACCATGCAAGGTCAGCTCTACTGTACCACTTACATTTTCAAAGGGCTGTTTCAGCAACTAGAAACTCCAACCTCAGGTCACACAGCAACATCTCTTTCCATTACATTAAAGCCTCTTCACATAATTTACTCCTGGAATGTCAAGAAACTGACCAAATTTTATCTCAGAGTACCATTGTTGAGTGTATACTAGCAGAACCTGAAGCCGGGCTTGTGCAGCATTCTAAGTCTTTCCAGTTTTAATCAAAATAGTACATAGTTCAAAAGGTTATTGTTTAAATATATTCTCGTTTAAAATACAATATAATCATACAAAAATTCAAACAATCTGAATACTCTATAGTATAGACATTACACATTTTTCTTTGAACCGTTCTAAATCAACCCAACTTTCGTCGATAAGGTGCATGGTTAAAAAAAGCTTATTTTTGAAGCATGTTTCTGCTTTTCACCTCAAATTCAAAAAATCCATAATTCTCTACAGTATAGACTTTACACATTCTGGCTAGAACCTCAGTTAGAAGCTACCTGATGGTTGGACACTATCTGATTCCTCCATAAAATCTTAGGCTGCAGAAGGTTTTCCGAATTCGCAAGGGAACAAAAAATATGGAGTTTTAAGTCAGAAACACTGCTAGTGCGCACTGGAGGAGACTAAAGGGAAATAAATAGCAAGACATGATCTCAGTGGTTAGGGGTTAGCGGCTTAGCGCATAACGCGATGTTTCGAAACAGTTCATTATCACAAACATCAGTGACCAAATAAATCATTGATTAATACTAAACATGTTCGACTGATTCTACAATTATGGCATCAGCCAATTTCAAAATTCAGGTTCATTAAACACATGCTCGTTGGCAAAATGGTCGGTCTAAACTCTACAGCTTTCACCACCACCCTTCAACATATGGAAATACGTACTATGAGTTGCAGAATAAGAGAAGCACACACATTTAAACCAAGCACAGAAGTCTAATATCAAATTAACCAGTTAGCTTTAACATGAGATACAACACAAACCTAAACGAAAGGAAACCTGGTCAAAGTCACTTAACAACATGGGCTTCCCTAGCTCATAGTCATTTTCTACGTAAAGATCTGCAGAAGCCAACCAACAGTAAAAACACAAGACCACAAACGGAGGGCAAATTTGGGAATTCGCACGTATCAACACTCATTGCAGGGGAGGAGGACCACCACTTGGGCACACACCATCTTTTCTATTATAGGTTAATGATGTAAAGGGAGAGAAATACTAAAGCAGGAAGCCAGAAAACAGATTACTGACTGCAGCAAATACACTAATCGAAAAGGGCAACAGCACAGAACCTAACAAGCACAGATTTGTTAATGAAGAGTATAGACAGGTTCTTTGCATTAACAAAATAATTCCGAACTCAAGAAAGCATAGTTCCAGCCGTGCAAAAACATGCTAGACAAGGCTTGAGGACCAAAGTCGTAGCACATAGTAAAAAATATGTCCAATTAGCAAGCTTTCAGATACTGTTCTTTCACCAACTTTGTGAGGGAATGGCAAAAGAAACCAGCTCATACAGCTGAAATGATATGAGAGAGTTGATAAACTTTTGACTAGCAAAATAAAATGATGAACGAACTTAATAATAAGAGCTCAAAAATTGTCCTAACTTATTAGACAGAATTATAGGGGCAACATTGATGCAAATATAACCATTAATGGTAAACATTAACAGAAAGGTTTGCATCAACAGAAATCAAACTCAATCCAAACATAACCATTCATATCGATAAACAGAGAGCATCAAAAGAATGAACTTGCCTTCGGTGGGAGGAGATGAGCATTAGGTGAAAAATCACAACATCGAGATTCACAAGTGTTACATCGAACATAATGTGCAAAAAATAAAATAATCATAATTATTTTCAGAATCAATAATTGGTCAGCAGATCACAATATCAGGCTGTAATCAGAGAGCTATGCAAACTAGTTAAGAGTCCAATTTAATAAGTTCTTGAAAATTCTTCATCATTGAAGAATACAATAAAGAGATTTTCCAAAGTTAACAGAGAGATTTTTAAAAAAACTTTGTAAAGATTCATAGCGAAGTGATTTCCAGGCTCACAGGTGTCATAACGAATGAAATCTGCAAGAAATACAATAATCATAATTATTGTCAGAACCAATAATCAGTCTGCAAATCGCATTATTAGCGGTAATCAGAGAGATGCGAGCTGTTTACGAGTCCAATCCTCATAAGTTTTGAGGATTCATCATCATTGAATAAATATAATGAAGTGTTCCAAAGTTGACATAGGAACTTTCAGAATCTCTGTAAAGATTAATTGCAAAGAACAATTCCTACGATTCTCAATGGAAAAGAATCATCTTTAACATTAATCCTTCAATAAAAGCCGTAGCTCACAATAATGTTGACGGAAGACAACATGACACCTGATCATATGCTAATCCAGAATTGGAACACAAAAAGAAAAATCCAATACCTTGAGCACTGCACAACAGAGATGCCAAATTGTTTCCCTTGAAAGATTTCTCATTTCTCACCTATCTTATATTCAATCGACTGAAAAACCCAATTTAGACAACTCTCTCGCTAAATTTAGTTTTGCATGCTTGCTGACAGGTAAATTCTTCAATTTCATTGAACGGAATAGGTTCAAGCAAACATCCGGATGGCCTTCCTTTAATAAGCCATCAATCAATATAGACCAGACAATCTCATCACCGCTCCATTTGCTGTCAAGCATACTTTTAAATAAAGCTTCAGCTTCTTCAGTCCGGTTTGTGCAGCATAAAGTGCAGACTAGTACTCTATATATTGATAGAGGGGGATTAAAACCACTGGTGATCAGTGAGTGGAATACCTCCATAGCAGAGTTAACTCTTGCATTTTTGCAATAAGAAGTCAAGAGGGAGCAAAGTATTGTATTGCTGGTAGTAAAGCCTTTATCTCTCATATATTCAACAACCTGATCTGCCTCATAACTTTTGCCTTCTCTTGACAATCCAATAATTAAAGTAGTGTATGTATCAAGACTAGGTTCGCATCCATACTCTACCATCCTATCCAAGAGACTAGAGAAAATATCAACAGTCATATCCTTCTGAGCTGAATTGCAAGTGTAAATTGTTTCACGTTGGGTCGCAACCTTTTCTTCAAGGACCTGACACTCTCTTCGTAAACCTTTGACCAGCACGCTGAATGTACAATAATTAGGTTGGCAGCCAGCATCAATCATTCGGCAAAGAAGACGAAATGCATCATGTGGCCTATCTATCATCACAAATCCATCAATTATTGAAGTATATATAACTACATCAGGAGCCAATCCTTTTCTAGCCACTTCTTCAAGCAAAGCCTCAGCCTCATCTGCCTTGCACTCCAAGCATAAGCCTTGGATGAGGGAACCATAAGTGTACAAATTTGGTGAGCAATTTGTTTTTTCCATTTTATTGAAGATCTGAAAGGCAAGGTTTGTCATTTTATTCTTGCAAAGCCCATCAATTAAAGTTGAGTACGTAATGACATTGGGTAATAGCCCACTTTTCAACAGCTGATCGTGGATTTTATTTGCTTCAGAAAACATATCCCCCTTACAGAAGCCATTAATAAGCGCATTGTAAGTTTCAATACCTGCATGACAGCCCTTATCCTGCATTTGTTTAAGCAATGCCAAAGCAGCATCTGTTTTCCCACCCTTACAAAGACCATCAATTAAAGCAGTATAGTTAACTTGATTTGGACTCAATCCTTCCTTCATCATATCCTCAAACGCATTTGAAGCTAACTCAAGTTTTCCCACATTGCACAACCCCGAAATAAGAATGGCATAGGTCCATTCATCTGGGTCACAACCATTTTCCTTCATCATATCAAATAATCTCATGGCATTAGTCACAGAATTCTGTTGGAGATATCCATTAATTAGCATGTTATATGTAACCCTTGATGGCGGTGGTCCCACATTTAACATCTCCTGAAATAGGACCATTGCCCTTTCCATGGCTCCAAACATACAGAATCCTTTTATAATTGCATTAGATGTCCTTGTATTACGTGAATAATCATGTGCCACCATCCAGCTAAATATTGTCAAAGCATTTTGCAGTTTCTCAGCTTCACATAATGCATTTATCAATACATTATAAGTAACAACAGATGGCTCCAGACCTTCTCTTAACATCTTGTGGTACAATCCAATAGCCAACTCAAGTCGCCTATTTCCAGCCAAACCACTAATGAGGGCAGTATAAGTTTGTGTATTAGGCTTACAGCCCCTTGCCTTCATGGAAACAAAAAGATCAATAGCCTCCTTAGCATGCCCATCATCACAAAAAGCTGAAATTGGAACCGTGTATGTATGAACAGTCGGTTTAATACCTTTGTCAATCATTTCCTTGAGCAATGGCATAGCCTCATCCACCGCCCCCGCATTGCAGAGCTCATTAATCAAAGTTGTATAAGTAACAGCATTTGGTTCAACGCCATCCTTCACCATTCTATCAAAAACCTCAAAGGCCCTATCCAACTCTGAATTCCGACAATGCCCAAGAATCAAAGATGTGTAAGTGAACACATCAGCCCTCATTTCACAAGTATACAACCTACTCAAAACTAACTCAGCCTCTTGAACCTTCCCCTTCTTACAAAATATATTGATCATACTGTTAAAAGTCAATAAACTTGGTTCAATCCCACCACTCAATATTTCTTTATATACATTCTGGGCTTCCTCAACCATGTCAAACTTACCCAACTGAATCAGCAAAGAATTAAAACTATACAAAGTATACCCAAAAGCATTCTTGCTAATACGATTCAAGAACTCGAGAACCCATTCCATCTCTCCCTCATTCCTACAAGACTTAATCATTAAAATCCTAACATGATCAGCAGGGGCAAAATTCTCATCTGAAACGAGCCTATCCAGCATTGCCACGTAACAGTTAAAATCATGGTTGTAAGAAGCCCTCTTAGAGACCCAATAAAAGAATTGCAAAACAGATTCAGTACTTACCTTATATGTGCCAATAATCTTAGCCACATGATGGGGTTTGATTTTGGGGCTCAAAGCCCTAAGCTGAGAGCTTTTCTTCCATGGCAATGACGTATTCGATAAAATGTCACAAATAGTGACAACTAAGTTGGGGTAATAGCCTATACTGGAATGGTTTCCAGTGCCTTGTGAAGAGAAACCAGAACGTGGTGAGAAACAAACACAGCCCAGATGAAAAAATTGCCGGAAATAAACTTTATTGAAACCCAATATAGTAGAAGTTGAGAAACATTGGCGCAGAAGGAGCTTAATCATTTCTTCACACGACGCTTATTCGAAGCCTCATGAGTGAGCTGCAACGGTAGAAACAGCCCTACACCTCCACAGACGCAGGCTGCTCATCCAGCGTTTCTCAATGGGGCTGCAGAGAGCAAGAAATAGGTTTTACATTTGATGAAAGTCCGACATGTTAATTTCTTGCAGACAGATGGGCAAGAACTATGTTAAAGCATCTTTTCATAATAAAATCCTAAATTATAATAAAACATTTCAAAAGAATAGAGATCTTTTAATAGGCATAGGGAAAAAAAAAAAAAAGGCATAGAACATTTCTCATAATGAAATTCCTTATGAGGTGGGAAATTTTCTAAAGTCTGTTTTGAGGCACCAAAAAATGAAGTACCATAATCAGCGTTTATCTCTTGCAGGATAGTGCCTTTTTATTTGCATAAACTAGGGAGCTTTATGCGAGCAACAGCATTGCCTGATAGATAAATTAAACGTAAGATTACAAATCTGAAAACTACTAAATTGGCCACCCAACAAGCATAGCGTGACACTCTGAATGAATAAAGTGTAAAGTAATTTGGTGAAAACAAAATTACTTTATAATGTTTGTTGCTCCAAAGTGCCTTGAATTTCTGGAATAATCTATGTATCCCCTTCTATATCCAAATGTGCCACTTTAAAACTACAACGATGTAGAGACAGAGTAACAACTCCTATGCAACTTATTCAAGAAACATATGAACTAAATACTTTACAAAATAAAAAATACAAAAGAAAAAATTTCAGCGTTTGGATGAGTTTAAAATCCTGATAATTCCGAATGCCAACTTAACTCAAAGCTAGAAGCAATCCACAATGGAATAGCCAATCTTAAAAGAAAATGCAGCAAAGAAAGTTTTACTCGTAACAAGAATTACAGCTTCTTTCTAAACTCGTCCTGAAGACATGATGCCTGACAGCATCACCTCACAATTAAAGATAATTATAGAAATAGCTATTAACACAGGAACAATTAGCTAAATAACAAGCCCGTAGAAGAGGATACTAATGCAGCCACAATTCTCCTGGGGTAAAATTAAACAAGTCCAACTAAATCACAGTTTTATAGTACAAAAAAAATTCAGTACAGCCCAATTCACGCATTGTAATTTGGTCTTTCCACTCAACTAAAGTTCTAAAAGGTACCTGATTCCAATAATTCTCTTATGCAAACTAATGAAGAAAGTTAACCTTTTACCTCCTCGTACTAAACTGAAACTATAAGAAATCTAATTTATGAATGAAGCTAAGCAGGTTTAGCACTTCAACCAGTCAAAAAAAAAAAAAAAATGAATGACGGGGAAACATTCTCATCAAGCACCAAGATAGGATTTTGCAATCCCTCAATAAACAGGAAACTCCAATTTGTCAATGCTAGAAATCCCAATTTGAACCCATCATGCAGATAATATTAAAAATCAATGCAGATTTGTTGCAGCAAAAAGCAAGTTAATTCAGTTCATTCGAAGTAAAAATTCAAAAAAAAAAAAGCAAGTCGATTGAAGAAACAGACCTTGAATTAGTTGTCAATCGATTTCACATTAAAAGGACGCACACGATTTTTGGATGAAGAAGTAAGCGGATTTCTAACGGCCGGCCACCGGAGTGAAGAAGAAAGAGATCCAGAGGCGGTTACCAATTAAACGTGGCACATTCGGTCGTTTAGCGGAAGAAGACAACTCAAAAATTGTTATTTAGTACCTCTAGTTAAGTATTTACGCATGAAAGACCCATCTCATTCTCTAAACTCTAGAGCCGTCACTGCAAGTCTGTTAGCCCCTAACGGTTTTCGATATTACAATTTGCGTCCAAACATACAAGTAGTGTACGGTCGCCCAATGCCGTGATGCCCTGCACCGTGATGCAGACCTATCTTTACATTAATTTAAATTATATTATTAACCAAAAATGATCTATCTATCTATCTATATATATCCCTTTAACCCTATTAAAGCAGAAGACATGTGTGGCAACTACGTATGCATCTGTTTTGGCTCCAATGCACCATATTTCAGATTTCAGAAGTTTTATGCCACATGTAAGTCTCTTTTAATTAGAAGCTATATAATTTTTTTTATATAAAAAAAACACATGTTTTACTACAAATAAGGATCAGTTACATTTCAAACGAATGGATATGTTAATTCAAATTCAAATGTCCAATCGTATAGTTTTGCAGGCTTAATATAAACAAAAAATAAAAATACCTAAATCCAGCAATTAAGAATAATGCCTTATAAACTAATTATTTATTATTCCCTTATAACCTCAGATTTATAGGTATATTTTTTAAGCCCCAAATCATAGCATAAATGATATATACGTCAAATTAATTCATCAAAAAATAGTAATTCAAATAAATTTTAATAGAATAGTAATTTAAAGGGGGCGCAAGCATCTAGTATAGTATTATACTAAGAGAGAAACTAGAGAGAGAAAATAAAAAAAATTCTAAAAGTGTCACATAAGATAAAATCCTATGTGTCATTTTTCTAATGGTTGAGTCAAAAAATATTTACAACAATTATACTAATAGTCCTTCAAATTTTATGTAAATAAAGTTTTATCAAATGGCATTTAAAACTATAGTTTAAAATAGGAAAATAAAAATTAATTAAATTTAATGGCCGGGATTAATGAATATTAATGCACCAGAATTATTCCCTCCCCAAAAGAATCCCCAAAGTTACTACTGGACTCATTTAATTAATTTCTTTAAAAAAAAAAATTTTCTCCCAATCATGTAAATCAATAGACTACAATTCAAAAAAAAAAAAACCAATCATTCAACATTAATGTTATCTTTAAGATCTTCTCCCAAAACCATGACCATGTATTTTTCACCAATAAAAAAAAGAAAAAAAGGTACAAAACTTGCCTTCAATTACTAAAAGGATCGGATTTAACTATAATTAAATGTTATCTTTTGAATTTCAAACCAATGCATTTAATTGTGTAATATCATATTTATCCAAATAAATATAATCTTCTCTTAATAATATCTCAAAAGTTGTTATAAACTTTATCTTTATCACTGAAATTTTAGATAATTAATTATCATCAATCCCAATTTGTCTCTATTTATTTTCACTTTTGGATAGTAAAATTTTGGATATTAAAATATACTCCAAAACACCTACATTACTGATGAATTATAAATAAAAATAGTCAAATTCATTTTACACTTTTTATATTTTTTTTTGTAGATTTTTTATAATGTATATAAATAAATCCCACGCATCGCACGGGTTTAACATCTAGTATATATTACTAATAGAGAAACCGGAGAGAGAAACTAAGTTTCATTTTAGAGTGACAACTAGGATAAAATCCTATGTGTAATTATTTCATGTGTTCTCAAAAAAAAAAGTTATGAAAATTGTGTTAATACCCTTGAATTTTATGTTAAATTAAACACTAAATTAGGTTCATCTTATATGATAATAGTTAAGTAAATCCCTAAAAATATGACTTTTTTTAAAAAACGAGAAATTAGGAACCAATTTTAACACAATAATTTTGATAACATTTTATAATTAGGGTGGATATACGGAGTTTTACTCTATGACATATTTCCATGATCGATTGCCTTTGAGCATAATAGTCCAATTTGCATTTGGGATCACTCTAAAACAAGGTGAACAATAACGTTTAGACACACAATTAATTGAGTAAAACAACAATGCCCATAAATTAACCTTAATCCCAAAGTAAATCAGAGAGAAAACAAAATTACATATATAATAAATAAAATTGTTTATCATAATGCCGCTCTTTTATTCAAATTCTGATCAACTTTGCCTTTACCTTTACTTGATAAATTTTATTTTTGCATTCTACATATTTGTATTAGATCCACGTGAATTATTTAATATGTCACATAGTGTTTCCTCAATTAACATCGAAATTAAACATTTAAGATTGTTCATTATGTTTGTTTTTTTCTTAAAAATATTTTTAGTAAAAAAATAAATTTAAAATTTATTTACTCCGCACAACGTGCGGGTTTAACATCTAGTTTAATTTCAAAGAAAACAAAAAGGAATCGAACGAGGGCTTTTCACCATGATGTTTGTTTACCATGACAGTGTAGTAGTTTCGAATATTTATTGCACTACACTGAGCGGTTAAAGAACTAGTCTTCCTAGGTTTATTTAGTAGATTTATAATTTTGGATTTTGATTAGATGGAAAATATATATATATATATATATATAATGATTTTATTCCAAAAAAAAAATATATATACTATCAAAAAAGAGAAATATGATGAAGAGAGCGTAAAATTTCCTTACCATGATATTCAATTTTGTTTAGAAAGATTTTATATAACAGATTTAACACGATACATAGATAACCATTATGGTAAATATTAATAGAAATGTTTGCATTAACAAAAATCAAACTCAATCCAAACATAACCATTCATATCGATAAACAAAGACCATAAAAGAAATAAACTTGCCTTCGGTAGAAAGAGCTGACCATTAATTGAAAATTCATAACATAAAGGTTCACAAATGTTATACCCAATGTAATCCATAAACAATACAATAATCGTAATTATTTTTGAACTAGTAATTTATCTATTGATTTTTTTATTGTAATTTTGTTATTTATTTATCTATTGACAAGGAGTTCTTTTGTTTAACTAATCAAGGAGGAATTTTAGCTAACTCAAAAGATTGAAATTGGCAATGATCGTGTTATTGAAATTACTTTGCATATTCATCTACTATCTACTATATGTATAAAAAGCAAGTTTGGAAAATTTTAGTGGTATAGTGAAAGGGTAATCATATATATATATATATATATATATATATATATACATATATATATATATATATATATATATAACTAGATGTTAAACCCGCACGATGTGCGGGGTTTATACATATACATTTAAATATATTTTTAAATTTTAAATGTGATTAATACAAATAAAGTAACTGGTTTGTAATAATAAATATATGATTAAAATTAAAT